GCCTTAGCGTGGCGGTGCCGTGGCTTTCGGCTCCCCGTGCTCTGCCGCAAGCATCTCCCGGGGCTGGCTGTGCCCCGCGGGCGTCGATGGGAGCGGAGCGCTGGGCACACGGGCCGTGAGAGCAGCCGCGAAACCCGGCGGGGTACGGGGCATGCAAGCTTGACGCCTTCCAAAGCGGGGCCAAGACACGTTCCAGCTTAATCACATTTATTTATTTTTACTTAAAAGGTTGTGGCCGGGCTTTCAAACCCAAGTTTAGACATGAGAACAGACCTCGGCAGCGCAGGCCAGCTGCGCGGGAATCTCGCCTAACCCTTGGATGGGCTTTTCGTGAAAAAAGAGCTCGGCTTTTCCAACCCACACAGCCCCAAAATCCTTCTGTCGCAGCGAGCGATGCCTGTGCGTGCAAATAGCCGAGCTCACAGCGATGAAAGGGCCTCAATCCGTGTTAGCACTTACCTGTGGGGTGGGCATAAGGAGGGGAGAGAAGGAAAAAAAAAAAAAGTAGTTCCTTAGAGAACCTGCAGAGATGCTCTCGCCCAGGCACAGGCCACAGCTCAGGAAGGTCCAGTTTGCAGACCTGGGCATCCAGGTTCTCCTACGAGGCTGCTGCTCTGACAGCCCCGAGGCAGCGGCTTTGCTCCGGGCTGCGCCGGCCCCGCTGAACCGGCCACCTCGTGTCGTGGGGAGGCAGCCTGGATCCTCCTCCGCTGCCCTCCGACTGCGGCTGACGCTCCACGTGCCTGCTGAGAACAAGCACATGAAAACCTGGTTACAGCAGCTGGGTACAAGAAGGGTTCAAAAGGTGCTGAAAGGTGCCTCCTGCCTCTTTTTTTTTCTTCTTAGCATCAGCCCACATCTCGCCATGGGGGGAGCTGAGTCACTGGCAATGTCTGCAATATTATCAGGGCCAAAGCAATAGCCCTAACGGGCCTTAGGAGAAGCCCACCTACGTACTAACAATGCGCCGCTTCCCTGTGGTTACAGAGCAAAATGGCTCAGGACATGACGGAGAAGGAGCTGCTGAAGATGGAGCTGGATCAGCTGAAGAAGGAGGTGAAGAACGAGCGGCAAATGGTGAGTTTTTCACCCCAAATGCCAAGGGGCCGTTTGCCAGGGCAACTGCGTGACCTGATCACGCTGCAAAGGCAAAAAACCCACCACGACCCCCGAAATTAAACTTCAACTACAGGCAGAAGCAAGTGCGCTCACACCTCGCCTCTCGAGGCGACCTTGCCCCTGGGGCTCAGGCCCACGTCCCAGAGCCTGGGAACTGCAGCCCCCGCACGCAGCGAGGTGCCCGTAGCACCCTGGGGACGCTCTTGGGGACAGCCCACGCTGGGTGGGATGTTCATGGCCACCGT